ATGGGGATCTTAAGGCTGTCGAGACAGATACAAAAATATTGGCCAAATAGACGATACACAATTTAAATAGAATTGGTTTAATATGAAAGACATGTAGTTTTGGATATATAGTTCAAATACTTGAAAGTATAAAGTCAATGGTATGTGCAATCAGTTTCCGATATCTTATATGTCTAGCATGACATAAAAACTTGATATGCATCTAAAGTCTATTATATGACTTATATGACTTAACTTATATGACAATCCATGAAAGATTTAAGTCACTTAAAGCATATACAATTCTTGGTCTTGAAGTACCACATCCTAAGTGCAATTTGTGCACATATATATCTTGCTATAACTATAAGCATGATAATGTGAGAGCGAGAATACCTCTATGGAGATATTGAAAAGGCCATTCTACGGAAGTTTATGAAGACATGACATCTCTATCAAGAATGATGATTTCAAGATGCAATATATTCATTCAAGTTAATATGGTTGATTTGTTTATCAAGTCTCTACCAAAGATCGTTTTGAAGATGGTGCACAAGATTGGAATGCAAATGCTTAAAGATGTGAATTAATGCTCTCATCAGAGGGAGTTAATGCGCGTTGCACTCTTTCTCCCTTAAAAGGTTTTGTCACACTGGGTTTTCCTTGCAAGGTTTTTAACGGGGCAACTAAAAGGCGTATTGTTAAATATGTGTACTCTTTTTCCTTTACTAGAATTTTTTCCCACTGGGTTTTATTGTAGTTAAGGTTTTAACGAGGCACATTATCTGTTGAATAGATATTCAAAGGGGAATATTATAAATAGAATTCTATTTGTAGTGAATGTTCATATTTAGAGAGATTCTAGGGTTTATTACTTAGTGGCTAAGTCAACCTCTCCCTATAAATAGAGGGTTCTATTCCATTGTAATTGATCACATATCAATAAGAATTCTCTTCTCTCTACTTTTCTCTGCAATACTCTTCTTTTCTTTTATTATTTCATAACAATGTCTATCTATCCATCTATATTATTATAAAAGCATGAATATAATGTCGGTTTATAAAAATAACCTTATAATATTAAGTATAATAACTCACAATAAAAGTACATAACCGGAATTCTAGATATTTGTAATCCTATTAGTTTTAGAATATAATACTACGGGTTAGGAATCCTATATGATTACATTTAGGATTCCTATTAGTATAATTAATTTAGAGCATAGACATATAATATTACATGCTAGCATGTAAACCTAATACCTTTGGGAACACGTTAGAATTTTCTATTAGTATAAGTACTTTTGGGATAGAGACATATTTTAAGTCATTTAATCCTATTACTTTTAGGATATACTTCTTAAAAATTTCTATTACTAATTTAATTTGAAAACGTATTATGATGTGCTATTGCTATTTAATTTGAGAATGTATTATATTGCTCAAATTCATTTAGAAAAGTCTATATTATTATAGAACAAGAATATAATATTGATAGACCAAAATAGTCCTAAAATATTAAATATAAGAACTCATATGAAAGAACATAACTAAAATAACATATTTTTTGGGCTACATGACCTTCTATTAATTTTTTTAATATTTAATATTTTAAAATTAAATTTATCTATTAACTTCTTATTAAAAATATGTAGGAAGGTTTAATAAAATTAATTTTATAAGAATTCTCCATATTGACACTATGTTACCACTCCATAATATATAATACTAAGGGAAAATAAAAGTAATATTAAATGGATTGCATAAGCTGTTGAAATTGAGAAAAATATACCCATAATATATTTTATATTATATTTGAACTATTTTCCTACTCAAATAATATATTTTTTAATCAATTATTGAAAAATATACTCAATTATTAAACAACAACTAAAAAATATTTAAAATATAAATGTGTGAGAAATAGAAAGAAAAATGGTTGGTAAGAGTCAATACCACTAATGATTCTGCAAACATAAAGATCTAAACGTGAAATGTTAGATCGATCTTTTTACTCTTTGAAAAGAAAATTTATGGTGGATAAAATTATAGTTAAGATTAAATCTTCAAAACATGAGATGAACTAATAATAAGAATCTAAGATGAACTAATATCAGAGCAACAATGCTAAATTTATAAGGAAAACAAAATTGATAATATGTGATGAAACGCTTATAGCTAATGTTAAATGATCGAAAACATTGCGCCTAGAGATATATTGAATACCAGTGAACCATTTGGTGAAAAACTAATGGCTTGGAAGGTGATTTTTGTCATATACTATCAATAGTTACAAAATCAACGAAATCAGAGACTATAAAAATTAGTTTTCCAAAATTATACTTATGACCTCAAATAAAAAAGATTTAACTGACAAGGATAATTTTCGGTATGTTTATATTTTGCAATTATAATAAATAAAGCACAAGGATAAACTTCCTAAATATTAGATTATATTTATCGCAATATGTTTTCTTGCATGAACAACTATATGTTGCACTTTCAAAAGGAATGAATATCAATATCGACAACAAGAGTTCTGTGGTTATGACAGAGCAACCAAAGCATTAGAAGTAAACATATACACAAAAAAATTATCTACAAAGAAGTGTTCGGTAAGATACCATCAAATTAAATACTTTAAACTATAATACGTAATTATCTAACTAACATGACTAAATTGATCATTTATGTAAGTTCTGATGATGTCCTTTTATTTTTAATTCACATATCATACTAATGTAATAATTAATATTTTTCAGCTTGCAGATGATTTAAACGGTTAAACCATCACGTGTCACTATTAACGTGCAACGCACGTTCATAGATACTAGTATACTAATAAGTACGTCACAGTATTCAACAATAAACTAACTATAACATAGGGGTGTACATGGACCAGATTGGTTCAGTTTTTATCAAAACCAAACCAAACCAACTATATCGATTTGAATTAGTTCGGTTTTGTCAGGTTTTTCGGGTTTTTTTTGTTACATGAATATTATTTCAATCTTACTTTGTTAAATTTATAGACAAAGCGTTGATAAGTGAATATATGTTTAGTAAATATAGAAAAAATTGACAAACATATGATCTATTAAAATATTCTAATGGGAGAATTTTTTTAGTAACACATGATAGTTATTTTCTTAGTCGTCTAACAATAATTTTTCGTTAATTCACGCTTTTAAGGTTAATACATGAGAGGATCCCAAATATTTCTACATTTTCTAAAGAAAAATCACTATAAAGTCTTAAAAATATAAATAAAATTTATATATTTATATGTCGGTTTGGTTCGGATTTTTTTACTCAATACCAAATCAAGTCAAACCAAACCTAGTCGGGTTTTTTAATCAATTTGATTTAATTTTTCGGTTTGGTGCGATTTTCCAGTTCAGTTTGAACACCCCTACTATAACATCCACCAAAATTCGTCGTGGATTGACAACTTACAAATTCGTTCACATATACACTGAGGCAAAAGTGAACACCTTCCAGAAAAACGTTAATATTATTATTTTGTATAGGCACACATGATATGTAAACATCTGTGCCTCTTGCATTTTTCAAAGCATTCATTATTTTGCCATAGTATACAAAAATAACAACATGCCATCCCATATGTAGGGTTTGAGGGTACGATGTACGCAAACCGATCTCTACCTCATGCAAGGTGAAGAAGCTGTTTCCAATAAACACTCGGCTCAAGCAACAAGAACTTCTGCTTACGCACAACAATAGTCTTGTTTCCAAACTGATGTAACATTTTTCTTCCTTTAGCTTTTAAGTTCGTAAATACAATTTCAAGTCGTTGAGAAGGGAAAAAAATACACAATTCCAAGTCCCAAATTTTCATTTGTACTGGAGTTTATTGCTCCTTTAGTACTGTCATTTGACGATTTTTGAGATTCTACTACAATTTTATGCACAATCTTCTAAGACAATTTGTAACATTTCAGAACGGAGAAGAACATCAACTGGTAATATATATTGTAGTTTCAAAATATGCAAAGTATACTTTAAATGACAATTTTGTTTACTTACATTACTTCAACATTCGGTCGATTGTACATTAAATATGATTTCCAAAAGAACAAATGAGATATCCATCGGAAAAAGAAAAAAAAAACAAACTCCCTCAATTAATTTTTGCCACCCAGCCAGCTATCCGGAATGGAATAGCATCTCTGCCTCAGCCAAATGAGTCCCTGTGGTACTCTCATTAGCACGAAACAATGTCATATAGGGAGACCAATGTTGCTCAGAAATGTAAGGAGCTTGGGGTCAATGGACTTAACATGAAGCTTCAACCCACAGGTAGAACAAGACTAAAATATCTAATCCTATTTAGAGACAGGATTCAAGACTTTAGATCAGTAGAATGTGGACACTACCATACCCACGGTGGCTTTGTGACAACAGGTACAGATTTAGTGCGCATGTGTATCTATTATTAACTTTGCACTGCCATGGAGGGGGAAGCTTGGGTTCACTGTCTCCATACATTATTACATTTCAATTTTCAGCTAAAAAAATAGTACTGTAGAAGCTTTCTTATTAAGAGGAGGAAAAAAAGAAACAATTATGGGAGTAACTGAGGGTCGGGTGCTTGATAATCAGGTAAATTGGATGAAAAATAAAAAGAGAATCTAAAGTTCAGTTTTAACTTCTTATTTCCTTTCTATCTGGGAGAAGAGGGGGCATACTCAATTTTTAAAACCCAAGTCTATCACCAGGAAAACTAGATGATCATTCACTGATCTGGGAACGATGCAGCTAAGTCAGAAAACATAGTTATACCCGACCTATATGCACAAGGAATGTTCCGAATCTATAGATAATCAAGTCGGGATGAAGTAGAAATAATCTCAGTCCTTACAGGTGGTTTGAAGCAAGTATTAATCGTTATTAAATCCCAGTAAGTACCAAGTAAAACCATTCAATTAAGAAAGGATTTTGAAAGAAACATGAGATCATCAGATTAGCAAAGCTGTTAAACTATACTGTACACAGAGTGAAACTATATATACAACGAAGGTGTAGAATTCCGACTAGCTCATGATGTACAGGAAGCAATTAATCACACTAGTATGAATTGGCTAGGCACCAATAGTATTACTTACTCATTTACAAGCATCAACACTTCTTGCATCCATTCCAAATTAACAGGGTTAGTTTGAAATGGTAAAATCTCTCTGGAAAAGGAGATGTCACTGCAATCGGGGTATGTTACAACAATAATTACAGGCTGTCAACCTGTGCAAGTTTCAAATATTAGCAAGGAGAGCTACTTCATTTCGGCTAATGGTGTCTTAAAGAATCAAAACTTACTAGTCAAAATTTGCAGGAATGTCAATTTCAGTTTTGGAAGCATTTCCAATATCAACTAGAGTTTCCTGCAGATCCAAAATTTCGGTGACAAAATGCGTTCTAATCATTTCGGCTAAAAAGATTCAAAAAATCTTTCATGAATAATATTAAGGAAGACAGTGATAATAAAGCTGTGCAATTGTGAAATAACTCTCAAACTACACTTACCTGCTCAACAAGATCACTAGAAGGACTAATGATACCCACAGGTATCTCATTTGCAAGATTGCTCCTAGCGCTGAATAGATTCTGAACCAAAAATGGCAAAAATACTGTAAGGTAAAAACATTTAACTAAAAATAGAGTTGCCTATTTCCATTCAAAGTATGCATGTTGAGATCCTCATCCAGTGTCAAGACAGTAGCATACTCCCATGTGACATTGACACCCAAATGGTAGAGCCTCATTGCAAAAAATGATTAAATAGACACCATCTGGTTAGCATCCGGATAATTGGTTAAGTTGAAATTTAAGCCATATGATGACAGCTTCAAATCAGTTGGACAAAAGAAAATCAGTTGGACAATTGGTGAAAGCATACTATAAAAATAACACTGCTACAGTGTCCTGTTTTTATTGACAGATTGGGTCAGTGGAATTAGAACAAAACAAACTTGTTAAATTTTTGTCAGTGACACTCATAAAGTTAATTCGTTGTTCTTTCTCGTTCAACCCTTCTTTTATCATTATATTTCAGTGTAATTCCAATATGAATTTAATATGTACTACGATATAACCTATGAGGAAATATTTCAATTGTTGCTATTAAAAAGTGTGTGCTAGAATATAGCATATGAGGAAATATTAAACATCGTACACATAATTGAACAAAATCAAAATATACCTTTTCTACATCAGCACAATGATCAAGACATCCTTCAGCAAATGCCTTCGTGGGATTGTCAGGATTTCCCTGCATGCAGAGAGTATTTTGTAATAAAGTGCTTCCATATATGTTCATCCTGGCAACTGGAGAAGTTTTGACCTTCTAAATTGGATGGGTGACAACAACAAACCCAATATGTTCCCAACAGGTGGGGTCTGGGGAGGGTAGTCTATACGCAGACCTTACCCCTACTTAATGCAGATAGAGAGGTTGTTTCCAATAGACCCTCGGCTTGGAAAGGGTGAGAATTAGAAGAAGAAAAGCAAGAAAGGAAGAGAGAAGAAAAAGATGGAGATAAAGGATAAGTAGTACCAAAAAATATCATCAGGGAATACAATATCTGAGGGACATGCGTGCTACTAAGACTATCAGTGAGCAACTAAAAAACTACCCACTAACCTTCAACCCTAATCCCCGACCTCCACACCCTCCTATCAAGGGTCATGTACCTCAGTAAGTTGAAGCAGCGCCATGTCCTGTCTAATCACTTCTCCCCAGTACTTCTTAGGCCTACCTCGATCTCTTCTCAAACTCGCCATGACCAACCTCTCACACCTCCTAACAGGAGCATCAATGCTTTTCCTCTTAACATGTCCGAACCATCTCAGCCTCTACTCCCGCATCTTGTCCTCCACGGAGGCTACTCCCACTCTGTCCCGGATAGCTTCATTCTTAATCTTATCTCTCCTGGTACACCCACACATCCATCTCTACTACTTTCATCTTCTGCACGTGGGAGTTTTTGACTGGCCAACATTCAGCCCCATACAGCATAGTCGGTCGAACCACCACTCTATAGAACTTACCCTTAAGTCTCGGCGGCACATTCTTATCATATAAAACACCGGAAGTGAGCCTTCATTTCAACCATCCCGCTCCGATGCGATGTGCAACATCTTCGTCAATCTCCCTGTTACCTTGGATAATAGATCCGAGATACTTAAAACTAGCTCTCTTGGGGATAAATTGAGCATCAAGCTTTACCTCTACGTCTGCTTCATGGGTCCGGACGGGTGACATCCCGCATGTAAAAAACAAAACTTCAATTTTCTAATCAGGAACACTAAGATGGATGAATGAGTTAACATTTTCAGGAGGTCCTTTTTATGAAGGAGAAATAGCATGTATACACAGCCAAATAACAGTATACTAGATATAGCATATAGGAATATAGTTCACACCACTAACAAATTTCTCATTCTTGCTGATGAAACATACCAGTTCTTTTGGTTCAACAGATAATTTCCTCGATCCCTTGCTTAGATCTCTCAATGTTCCCTATATATCCAACAATATGGGGTGAATAAGAGCTTGATATAATTTTAGATCCAATAAAATAGAATATACAAATCTTGAATTAAAAAAAAAAGTACAAATCAGCTGATTTGATTAGGCGAAACCCAATCGATTTGGTGCTTGGTGCAATTTTTAAAGTATTGACCGAGAATGCAGTTGATAATAGCAGTTAGTTTGAACTTCCCACTACCAAAAGAAAAGAGAAGAAAATCATCAACTGCAGTAGCTAGAAGAGGTTGGGGGGGGGGGGGGGAGAGAGCAAATGTTGTGTTATGCGAAGGAGAGAGAGAGAGACAGAGAAAGAGAGAGAGCGCAAATGTTGTGTTATGCGAAGAACCAAAAGATCAGGAAACTTCATGACCATTAAGTTGAAGAAAAAGAAAAGATTGCCATGCATACCTTGTTTGCCCACTTTAGTCCACATGCATTGCAGAGTGTCCTTGGTCCATCTGGCCCGCGGCGCATTGCTGGCGTACAATTTTCACTCACACCACAATGGTGACACTTTCCAGGACTAATAATTCAGAAAGAATCAAGCAGGAAAAAAGATTGGCACTTTTGCGGTCAGAGCAGAAGTAGATCAGTTAGTAGAGGCTGAAGCAATAAAAGTTGTAAAAAGATGTGAACTCACACAGTTTCAGAAAGTTGAGTGCCATCTCCTTCAAGGCTACTCTTGGCTGAGTCGCAGTTAGAAGATCCAGAACTTGCTTTCAAAGATGCAAATTGACCATTCTTCCGATGCATCCTAATATACATTGCCAAGTTATACTCAAAACCTCGACATTTATACCAGAAATTGCTTCTTGTTAAGCTAAAAAAATAAGTTGCTTTAGATTTTGCTTGAAGCTTCTTTTTTTTTTCCGCTTTGGAGGGGGGG